ATTGTTAAAACAATAACTGCATACATAAAAAACAAAAAGGCACAATACCGTGACTGGAACAATATACAAATAATCGGCACACAGGAATAAGAAAAGTTTGTGGCGACATTTCGGTCCGACTTGGACCATTCACACGTCCAGTGTGCCTTGAATGGTCCAAGTCGGACCGAAACGTCGTTGTAAGTTTTTTTTCTCTTTTATGTGGGTTATTTGTGTAGTTGCATATATACTTGCACGACCCATGAGTGCACATTTGCTTACCTAACTGCAAGACCCATGAGTGCATATTTACGTACAATGCCCCCCTCATGGAATACATTCACTTGTACAACCCATGAATATAAGTTTATTTACTTGGTCCATAAGTACATATTTACCTGTATACAAGGGATGTATGCTGTCACGAGGCTCCTCATTCACCAAACAACCGTATATCTACCTAGGACAAGTAATAACTGTTTACATTTGCTTCCGAGAAGAAACCTGATATCATGTAACCACCGAGGCTGCTATGATAATCATGTAACTACTGGGACTGCTGAGAGGATTATGTAACTACTGGGACTACTGTGAGAATCAATTATGCAATACTGGGACTGCGGTGAAGATCAATTACATAACTACCGGGACAGTTGAGAGGATCAGTGATGCAACTAATGGCATTACTGTGAGATCAAGTGTGAAGGGAATATCCTGGAGTGAAATTTAACTCGACACTGACGAAGAATAGCAAACACAGGTTGGGAAGAAGGGTTTAGATTACAGGGGTGAATAGGCGATGAATTGGGGAGCCGGAGATTGTGCAGAAGGAAGAGAGAGATAGAGAGGGGGAATATGCGAAGAGGGTAATAAGGAGAGATGATATCAGGATAAGCTACGGGTGCACAATAAATAGCCACTCTGAGGGTGCAAAATTAGTTTTCATTGTTATAAAACGTAAACGCAAACTACGAATAAAAATTTACTTTACGAGTGCTTCAGAATTTTTATATAAACACTAAGAGTGTACATTTATTTTTAATAGTAGTAATGTACAGTATTATTCTTCAAACAATTTTGTTGCTACTCACGAGAGGTAAACACACCATCACTTGCACACGTTTGACCGCCAATATGGCGGACGCTCACCCTGTAACATCACGTGCATACATCATAGGAAGTGCCCTGATTTAGAAAAAAAAAGGCAAGAATTACTTCCAGCAACCATCTGAGACAGACAGTAAGCCGACACGAAGTAAACCAATTACATGTAAACCAAAGACATGCAGTAAACCAAAGACACGTATTATTATTATAATCAAAAAGAAGCGCTAAGCCACAAGGGCTATACAGCCCAAAGACACGTAGTAAACCAGATACGTAGCAAACCAAAGACATGTAGACACAGTAAACCTTTATAAAAAAAAAACAGCGTTTCGCTCAGCTTAAGTTTTATTTAGCTCTCAATGAGGAAAAATTACTTTTTCTAATACAGGCTTGCGGTTCTCTCGTCTCTGATTTCCTTGTTTCAACTTTATTTTGTCCTTTCCCACCATTCTTCTTTCTCACCATCCTTCTCTCCCACCCTCTCCCTCGCAACTTTTAATTTTCACCACTGAGCAGCACCAGGGCAACGACTTACACTGTTACTGTGGTTATTATTGAACGTCTAGTTCCCGCAGAGCACAAGTGGAACCGAGGAGATGCTTTTAATTACCTGAAGTCTACCTGGAAGTCGTTCCAGGGCATCAACGCCCCCGCGGCCCGCTCCCCGACCAGGCTTCCGGGTGAATCAAGGCCTGATCAATCAGGCTGTTGCTGCTGGCCCCACGCAATCCAACGTATGGGCTACAACCCAGCTAATCGGGCACTAAATATCTATTCAGTTCCCTCTTGAAGACAGTCAGGGGTCTACGGGTTATTCCCCTTATGTATGATGGGAGGCTGTTAAACAGTCTTGGGCCCCGGACACTTAATGTATTTTCACTTAGTGTACTAATGGCGCCCCTTCTTTTCATTGGGGTATGCTGCACCGTTTGCCTAGTCTTTTGCTTTCGAAGGGAGTGATTTGTGTGTGCAGAATTGGGACCAGTCCCTTTAAGATTTTCCAGATGTAAATTATGATGCATCTTCCTCGCCTGCGTTCCAGGAAGTACAGGTCCAGGGACTTTAAATGATACCAGAATTAAAGGTGTTTAACTGAACTAATATGTGTAATGAAGGGTCTTAGCCTATTCTCTAGATCTGCGATTTCACCTGCCTTGAATGGGGCTGTTAGTATTCTAGCCTAGAGAGAACAAGTGAATTAAAAGAGAATCGTTACACAAACAACCCGCACATTGGAGAAACTTATGACGACGTTTCGGTCCGACTTAGACCATTATCTAGTCACACACGTGCAGAGCAGGGACGTGAGAAAGATGGAGAAATACAAAAAATGAAGTGCAGATAGTGGAAGAGGTAGGGCAAGTAGTGGTAGTCATGGTATTGTGCCTTTTTTACTCTTGAAGGATCATGAGATATACACTCAACACTTAAATACTTCCAGCAGGTACTGGTGCTTTCTTAAACACAGATGAGCATCTTTTTGCACAAGCTATGATATTTCAGCATGTATTGGAGTTTTTTTACGCAGGACTGGAGCGTCTTGCACAAGACATGACATTCCAGGACTGGAGTTTTCCAAGACATTTTTGCCTGGATGCAACCCACAATAGTCGGCTAGCACACAGGTAATTATTATTACTGCTAGGTAGATAGGGGCAACAGAAGGTGTAAGGAAATAGGCACATATTTCTCAAGCTATGCTCTCACCTGTGAGTTATGCAGCACCTTCTGAACTGATAAGGGCGAAGGGGCAGAAGAGAGTGAGGGTAGTAGAGGGAGGGAAGGTTGGAGGGAAACAGGTAGGGTGGGAGAGGAAGCTGGAGGGGGAGAGAGAGAGGTGAGGAGGGGGAGAGAGAGAGGTGAGGAGGGTGCGTGCGAGCAAGGCTGGGGACATGGAAGGGGGACATGTGAAGAGAAGAGTAGGGGAAGAGAATGAGGGGGATAACAGAACGGGGAGGAGAATGTGAAGGCCACGAAGGGAGAGGGTTATAAGAGGGTAATGCAGTACAAGCGGCGGGGGAGAGAAGAAATAGACGCGGAGGTGGATGGAAGGAGGGGAGAGATGGAAATAGATATGGAAGGGAAATATGGAAATAGGGAAGAGGATGAAAACATGAGTGAAATAGGAAGAAGGGCAATTAATGAAGTAGAGAAAAGTAGATGGGTGGAGTAATTCCCTGCCATTACCTCAGTATTACAAATTTTACTACGCAAAGACACTAAAAATACATTTCAAGACAAATCTCCTGAAGAATACAACAAAATATTACACTCAGAACCGACAAGAGCAAACATTAGCCCGCACACTGCTCCATCACTATGTCTGGGTAACAACAAGCACCCACAATAATTATCCTCATTCGACAACAACAATCCCTGTACAGCCAAACAACAACAATCCCCATAGAAGAACTACCACCTCCATGTAACAATTACTAACACCCTACTTACAACAACTACTCACATACAACAACTACTTCCACACATCAACAATTATCCTGATACAACTACAATTCCCATACAATAATTTTTTTTCCATTTCCGGACACAGTTTCTGACATTAAATTACGACAAGCCTAGTGAATCTTTTCGCATCTGTATCAAGATCCTGACACTACAATGGTCTTGCTATTGTACCTGATAAAATTAAGTTTCCCTAAGGAAAAATCTATTTGTGAAGTATAATAATAATAATAATAATAATAATAATAATAATAATAATAATAAAATTATTATGCACTAGATCCATATTATATCTTCAGAAAATATACATTGTTTAATTGTAACACTACGTAAATTTAACTAAATAAAAATATATTGTTAAAGTTTGGATACTTGGATATAGTGAAACGACTGTGTAGTCATCACTGTTCAGGGAAACAGTAGGAGGACTTTTTTGTAGTTTTTTACCCTAGGTGACAAGGGCGTATCTCGGGGCACTTATTGTTACCTGAACACACAGGTAGCGAGACCTTCCTGCCGAAGCCACGCTACTCTGTTAGTTGTTTGATATACTATAATTAATACTAAGCAACTACACGGTCATTAAGACCATATTACCAGGATACCACCAGACAAGGGTTTATGTACACTGATACACACGTCTCAGTGCATGTAACATTGCTATATTGCAAAACAACGGTTCCTCGAATTAACTATGTCCGTGCTACAGCGCCAACGGTACCCTCACGAATATCAGCACTTGAATCACACCTGCATCAGGTAATGGTTCCTCTCGAATAAATTCAAAATAATATGTTCCTCCCGGTGGCTGAGCACTCTCACCGGAGTCCTGCCTGCCATCTTATACAGTACTACTGGTCACACTGTTAAAAACAGGCAGAGTCCTTCCTGTTGTGTGTACGTTAGTCTCACTGTTGCACACAAGTAGAGATCTTGTTTTATGTTACTGATCACACTGTTCTATTATTTTACGGGTCACACTGTTACACACAGGTAGGGTCCTCCCTATTATGTTACTGGTCACACTGTTACACAGTCTTCCCTATCCTGTTATGTTACTGGTCACACTATGTACAGACAGTTCTTTCTGTTCTAATATTTTACGGGCCACACTGTTACACACATGTAGTCCTCCCTATTGTTACTGGTCACACTGCTATACACAAGTAGAATCCTCCCTATCTTGTTGTTACTGATCACAATGTTACATACAGGTGGTCATCCCTATTATGTTACTGGTCATACTGTTACACACGAGTTCCTGTTCCGTTACTAGTCACACTGTTACAGTCCATCCTCTGCTGTTATATTTACTAGTCACTTTAATTAGCGCCCCAAATACATTTCTGGTGTAGGCTAAATGTCACTTGTTATATTCTCGGTCATCACTCGGGTGAAAATTGATCGCACAGCGCACTTTTCTCACAAGACTAACACATCATTACACTTACTAAACATATATTTACATAGAGTAACTCAAGGAGGGCGAGAAGTTCCATACAGTACACACCACCCTCCCACACCACCTTAGGGACACTGACACTTGCAAACTTGTATCATGACAGCTCCACAGGTGCTGCTGTTCTTGTACCGCGCTGCCGGGGACCACATCACCTTCCTAATAACCCAAGCCTAAATAACTAATAAATTAAGTACTGTTTAAACCTCCATTCATATCAGTTTCATTAGTGGTATTTCGTGAAATTATTTTATTTGATAAAAGTAGTTTGGGTGAACGTAACTAGTGATCCACTGATACAGGAATCATACGTCCGGGAATGGTGTCCAGGAGCAAGGCTTGCAGGTCCGCTGTGTGACATGTGTTATGTATTTAAAGACACACTCCTTGCTGTGTCAATATATATTAACTAATATGCACTGAGGAACTCCCACACCCTATGTGCCACATAGATTAAACTTTATATAGTCAAGTTAATGTATCTTTGACATTCTGTTGAATGTCAAAGATACATTAACTGCTATGTATACCTCAAATACTCACAACTTTCGCCCCCTTCCATGTGTCATACATGCTATATGTTAAGTACTCACCACACTCATCCCCTGCTAGGTGTCACACATATCTTTCATACTATGTACTCAAGACAAACCTTGTTGTGTCACAGATGCATTAAGTGTTAAATGTTCAAGACAGTCTTTGCTGTGTTGCAGATATATTAAGTGTTAAAGGCTCAAGACACTCGCACAAGACCACAACACTGCTGCCTAACGCTAATTATTATATTTACGGTTAAGTCTCTAGGGATCATATCGCACCTGGGGAATGGTAGGTGATTAGGATTGATCCAAGGAAGAGGATGATAACTCCAATTAATTAGATCAAGAGCCCTTCGTCACCATGAAGTTAACTAACTCAACTGAAGGTGGAAGATGCAAAAAATCTCCAGTTATCCGTCAGGTGCTAAAGGACGCGCGCGCATTACACACACACACTTACAAACCACAAACATGCACACCTACAAACATACACATGCATACAAACTCCCCTTACACACACACGCGCGCGCGCACCACACACACACACACACACACACACACACACACACACACACACACACACACACACACACACACACACACACACACACACACAGGTGCTGCATTTTGATTCACTGCCAACGTCATGGTGATACCTCAAACACACTTGGAAAAACCAACTTCACTTTCTTATTACGGTGATGCAGTACAACTGCAGCAGCAGGTGCCGACGATAAACTAATACGAGTAAAACATTTACCTTCCCGTTGAAGTTCATAACTAATGTATCCTAAATTTGGAACTCTGGCGCATGTCTGAAATTATAAAGTTCTGCGAATAATACGATCATAATAGTACCATCATGGGATAAATTTTAATGAAGACATAACACAGATCATGGTACGGGTGGGGTTAGAACCCATGTGGTTTGTTTGTAAATCGTGTTATTACGATTTCGTGAGCCATAACCAAGATGATAATGAATACAACATCCACCTGTTGCTTTCTGTTCCACCAAACTGTCATTGAAATATAATGATACAGTGCAGCAGTCGAAATATTATTATTAGTAGTAGTACTGTTATTGAAAGAGAAACATTTGAACAATAACAAAACATGACACTGACTCCGTGTCAACCACTGAAATTACTACAATAATAAAAATACAACATAATACAGCACTAAAATACAAGAACGCGAAATAAAATTTTAAATTTACTTCAATGATGCAACAGCAAGAACTCTGTTAATATAACAATTTACCGAGATAAGAAATGTTAAGAGGTCAGCACAAGTTGCTTAGCACGCATACACCCACACCGGTAAGCCAGCGGAAGGCCTCGCTCCGATGGCCAAAAGATCCAGCTGCAGGTCATCATATGGCAAACTCGTGTCAGTAAACACCTGTTCTGCTTCCTGATATACCTTACCTAACCCAACTTAACTTTAGAAGAGCCAAGGGAGACCTGCTAACGACATACAAGATACGAAGAAAACTTGCATGATGGGGCACCCAGGGAGCGTCTGCGAGGTACAGATTGGGAACAGGGAAAGAATTTAAAGCGTCACAGGAATCCTAGGGAGAATTATGTCAGCGTCAGGGTATTCAGAAACAGGAAACATGTAGTAGTAGCAAACTCAAAACAGACTAGATACACAGTTTTAAGGATAGAGTCGACAGGGACTACGAGACAGGAAACTTGTGAACCTAGTTGTTTGAGGTTAAGAGGTACGACAGGAACTGAGACTCAACCCTTGCATCCACAAATAAGTGAATACATACATACATACGCACAAAAAAATCCTAATTTGCTGCCGTAACGCTAATCCACCTGCTGATAATTAAATGAAAATAAGATATATTTTGCTGTCTGTCTAAGGTAGTGACTAGACCGAGTAATGAGTCGACTGGTACACACTGGTCAGCCTCCTGCACTATGAGAGAGCAACTTTGCACTTTCTTCAACAATGTTCACAAAAAATTACACAAGCACACGCACATGGCAGAAATTGTGAACAAATGATTACATATAATATAATGGAGAGGTAAGTATATATACTTACATATTCGCCTACTCATCTGATGGTAAGATGGAAGACAGAGCTCAGTTCTTGGGTCTAATTTATATTTTTTTCACTTGACTGATAACGAAGTCTTCTGGTGAGGAATGAGATACATGTGCAACACCTGCGTATCTCTATTTGAAGACGCTTGGCCAATTCAATACAAAAATGATACACGAAGAATATATTCGGATATCATCTCGGAATTGAACTGGAAAGTTACTGGTTTGCGAAATGTCTTCAAATAAAGCTATCCAGGTGTTTTCATGACTCACTAAATCGTAATAACACGATTGCAAACAAACCATGGACCCATGCTAACCTCCCTATGATGCATAAATATACTTATAAGAATCTTATTGTAGCCAGTTGGCCGAGTGGCTTACGCACTATCCTGGAGTTTTACGATTCGCCATGAGTTCAAACATCACCCTTACCGTGGTTTAACCAAGTGCTAAACAAGTCTCTTAATTCCTCTTGTCAATACTGAATACCATTATTTTAACAAGTCTTTCAGTTCCTGTATATATGTACCTAGTTGTGTCTTGGAGTATTAGATCCCTGGACCCAACTTTGTACTTCAATTACCAGGTGTGGTTTACTCCCTGCCCCTTTTTGAGCTTCGTCATATTTTCCTTCGAATCCATGTATGGAGTTGCCCTTCACTACACTCCTTCCTAATGCACTGATGAACTCGCTACCATCACACTGGAAGAAGTATTTTTAATGTTACTTTGGTTCACTGGCACTTCCAGCCTTCGGCTGTGTTTCCTTGTTATTTTTTCTCTTATTACTGTTTGCCCCTACCAATCTTGTGCATGTTCCTAAGTATCTTATAAGTTGTGATCAGGTTTCCTCTGGTTTCTTCTCGTTTTTGGACCAGACTTATACGTCTGACTTATATCTTTATTACAGAACATGTTTCGAACACAGTGGGATTTATTAAGTCACAAACGTGTTCCCGAAATACTGTCTGTAATAAAGGTTTGGTCTGCACCAATTGTTATTTCATCATACTAGACTTATAGCTATTATGTTCAATACTGATATCACATCCCGTGTAGGCACTGAAGGGTAATCCTAAAAGACAAGAACGTAGAAAACAGTTCACAACTAACCTAGAAATTAAAGATGAAATTGGAAAATGTTTGACCCGTCCTAGACTAGTTTATCAAATCATTAAAGAACAAGACTTGTGCAACATTTAGATATCTATATTGACTAAACATTTCGACTGAAGAAGCCTGTTGCAGGCGAAATATTTCTGCAATAAGGAAACCCACATGTTGCACATGTCTTATTCTGCAATTTGTTGTTATTGTGTACTACCACTAATATGAATCAAACCTTTATTTACAATGGTTCAAGAAGGACCAAACATCATGTACATTTACCTGCAATCTTTGGGTTAGTTGTAGACGACCCTGACCTTCACATGACTGAAATGTTCTACTAATCCCAGGTGAACTTTCTTACCTGGTTACAGAGGTTAATTACTTAATGAGCTAAATTATATCAAACTCTATTAACCTTGTGGCAGAGAATTATCTCTTCCAATTATATAATTCCAAGCACAGAGGTAGAATGACGATACGAAGAGGCAACAAACACAGCGAAAAATCTTAATAAAGTACACATAAAAAGTTATAAGAGGATGTGAAAAATAACTAGAGCAAAAGACTTAAAAAATATAAAGAGGAAATGAAGAGATAACTAGATTATATAAAAGTTGACCGACATTAAACAAAGAATTTACAAATTAAACCAAGTGGAGAAAAACAACAAAAGAAACTGAATTAGTAACCTCGTACGCAGAGCAATCCCTACAGAGGAGAACAGTGGATGAGGAGTTTGAGGAAATCAGTCCCTCCGCCAGGAGTCGATGTGTTCACTCCATCAGTCTTAAGATGGACTGAACACATCAGAAGATCAGACGAGACATTCTCTAGTTACTGTATGGAAACCAATTTATTTAATAAAACTGGAAAGTTAATATTTACACAGATCAAGGTGAATGCCAAATTTTCAATTAATGAAGCCCACCATCACTTAAAAGTTTGAATCCTATCAGATAAGGCATTCTTCAGTTATTGCTCAGAGTCCAACGATTCCAAGTTATATAACTATGTTAGTAAACTGTTAAATTTGCATATACGTAGACTAAACCTTCTGTGCATTATCCTGTACTAAAGATACATCAGCAATTAAAGATTGCAGCCATTCCAAAGAGGTGTGATTAAGTACATTCAACATGATTTAACGTGACAAAATCCAACTGCGATTAAAGGCATGAAAGATGGCCAAACAATTTTAGGCTTCAATGGTAACTTACTTGAGGCCCTGTAGTCATGTCGAGAGAGAGAGAGAGAGAGAGAGAGAGAGAGAGAGAGAGAGAGAGAGAGAGAGAGAGAGAGAGAGAGAAAGGGAACAAAGCCCGAAGACAGGTCGAGTGAAGAGGAGAGGTAACAGACAGCCAAGGTCAGGTCAAGC